AGGTTTAAATATGAGCTCATGCTCATATTGACTAACAAAACTCACATGAAATAGTGATTAACAAAAACTTACCAGTAGGAATTGTTACGCCAAAACGTTTCAGTTTCTCCTCAGCAGACTCTTGTTCTTGTGGTGGCAGGGACGATTCAATTTCGGTGCTGTTCAAGTTGAAGAAGGTTCGAACTTTATCCCTTATCTTGGAAGGAGGAATTTCCCCAAGCAATTGGTGGCCCTTGCAAAGCTCCCTAACTTCTTCCATCGATACTTTTTTTGTTTGGATTTGGGCAGCAAAAAGTTGTTTTAGTACATCTTTTTCTTCACTTGACCACTTGTGTCTGTGATCTGATGTGTCAGCTTCTTTATCGGCTGGTTGCTTATCTTGTTGTTCATCGCTGGTTTCTGTCTTCTCTGTGGCATCACGCATAATGCGTGACAGTTCCTTTGATGTTTTAACGGCAGACTTCCCCTTATTCTTTAGCAAGTAAAATTTGTCTGCCGTAGTTTTGTGGTGTACCATGAGATCTGCTAGATCACCCCGCATATCTTCGTTACTTTCGTTAACGGCCGAAACAGCAGCCTTCCTGAACGAAGTTGCACCACCCATGGAAGCTTCTTTTCCAAATACTTTGCCCCAACATGAGCCAATTTGGGCACCGACTTGGGATGAATCTAGTGGTGTGCATCTAAAACTCAAAAAAACTGTGCTTTGTGGTGTAAAATCTGGTAGAAAGTTCCGTAATTTGTCAATGAATACTTTCATATAATTATGAAGCGAAGACGACAAGACAAGGTGAGCCGGTCCATGGGTGGTAAACGTCTTGTGTTTCTTCACCCTAACAACATAGCAGTCATCTTGCTGTATGGCGTTTTGGAATTCTTCCATGGTCATGTTGGCAATGGGACCAGATCTGCTGCCGTTGTTAATGCAAATCAGGGACATGATGTAGTCCCGCACAATGGTGTACTCTGCCTTTGATACCAAATGGTTGTCTGGGCATGTCTGGATTTCCCCAAGTATTTTAACCGCCTTCCGTGCAACCTCTGAAGTGTCAAACCGTTTAATATCTTCTGGTGTCTTCAATGTTTCAATATCCTCTACACGTTTTTCCCAAAAACGATTTTGGGCCATCTTCCGAGAAGACTTGGCCCATAACTTGACCTGTTCCGATAAGCTTACAAGCTGGCCTTCATTTACATCCAGCTCCTCAAATTTGTTTGGACATTCTGTACGCAGGTAAACGAAGAACAGGTTGAGGGACCCAAGATACGATTTAACAGTACCAGGTTTCTTCTCTTTTTCAATTATACTTAGCCACTTATCTCTCAGCACTGACTTGGACAAGAGGCCTGATATCGATGGAGCAGCCGGGGTGATGACCTGCATAACCATCTCCACCTGCCGCATACACTGTCTTGCACATTTTTCATCCTTTCGGCCACCATCTGGTCCCCTTAACCAATCTTTGAAGTTGCTTACTGTCACTTTGTCATCGATACTAATTGGTGAAACATGGCCACTTTTAGTTTCACCAATATCACCACCAATATCACCACCAGCATCATTACCGTCAACATCATTACCGTCACCATCAACAGCATTACTGTCCTCACCACCTAATATCTCACCACCACCAACATTGTTTTCACCACCAAACTTACCATCACCAACATTGTCTCCACCACCAACATTGTTTTCACCACCAAACTCACCACCACCACAGTGTCCACCATCATATTCGTCACCACCAATGTCTTCATCATCATAGTTAGCACTACCACTTTTGCCCTCTCCATCACCATAGTCACCGCCACCGCATTTGCCCTCATATCTCCTATCATCGACATCTTTACCACCTTTCTTGCCACCACCCTTAACAATATTTTCGAGGATCCAATCATATTCCGCTGAATCCTCACTATCATAAACAGTTTGATAAACTTCACTTGAGCCTGGCTTTTTCATTCTCCACTGATCTTCAGACTGGTCTTCGTCACTACTGTTAACAGAAGATTCATGGGACGTCATTTCACAATCTACCACTGCAGGTTCGTAGTTTTCCGTATTCTTCACCAACTGCACAAATCGAGGACTCCCCCTTTTAATGTTGTGCTTTTGTGCAAGATGGTTATGGATCCTTTTCACAATGGAACCACAATCACGCACTGGGCACACCTTTCTCGCATGTTTTCGCTTCTTTACAGCTGATGATGAAGCTGGTCTTGAATTCCGCAAGTCAAAGGTTCCTAGCACAGCAGTTGAGTCTGCTTTACTCCATCCATGGACCTGCCTCATGTGCCTGGGAAGGTGAACCACACTAGCTTTACAGGACGGAAACGGACAGTTGTGCTTTGCTCTGGAGCGTTTTATTCCAGTCTCTCCGGTACTTGGTTCTCCACCATCAACACGACCATCATTCACTTCTCCACAATCTCCACCACCCTTAGCATTCACGTCTCCAACATTGTATTCAGTCTCAATAACATTCCTCTCTGCACCATCCACACAGCTAACTCCTCCAACGTCTTCAATCTCCATAACATTCATCTCTACAGATTCCAGGTAGGTAACTAAAAAGGATACAATCATGTATTTATGCAAACACATTGTTCTATGTAGTCTAACACTACAACATTTAATGCAAACACATCATATTATGCTGTCCAACATCACATTTTATACTAGTCCAGCCCATTCCTTTGATTGTCTTTAGTAAGTTAGCCTATGGCACAGCAGTGCAAGGCAGTCTATAGTACGGCAGTGTAAAGCATTATATGATCTAACACTGTCAATGTATACTAAGAAGTAATATTAATGTGAGAAGCAATTTGATACACAGATATTACGTGTAGATAAGTATTTTGGTGGGTATAGACCCATTGCACATGACGTCACAACGCCAACTGTAACGATGCATCTGGAGGACAAATTAGCAATATATATATATATATATATATATATATATATATATATATATATATATATATATATATATATATATATATATATATATATATATATATATAATATATAACTTTTATAAACAAAGCAAATTTTGTAAAACTTTATAATAATTTTGTATTAAAATAATTAATTTTTGCGCTGTATGTGGTTGTTGTACCCGAATAGATGTTGTTAATTAGGTAGCATCTGGAGGATTTGTGACGTCAGTGCAAAGGGTCTATATCTAATTTTATAATTCTGTAAATTTCTAAATTCAGATTCAAGCCCACCTTTCAAAAATAACTGAGATTTAAGCCCTGTCCACACTACGTTCAATTTTTGGTACTGGATGAATAAAATTGGTACCCGTACCACTTTTTCGGTTCTTATTCAAAAATCAAGCATGATGCAAACGGGACTTTAGTCATACACTCATGAAATCTTTCCAACATATACAACAAGTATAAACAATATTTTTGTCGGTAAATTTGTGATAAACATTGAATGAAACCAAATTTACATTAAGACGACATGTTAAAATTATTGAATTTCGTAGTAATAGAGTAAGCTACATCAGGTAAAATCATGCTAATAAACACAACTAGGGATCCAAGGATAGTGTGAAGTTTCAAATTTAAAAAGACACTGCAAGAACTATATAGGGTCGCCGACAACCTAGAAAAGCTTGATGGCTTACACTACGAAATAAACAGTTACCAAAGGCATTTCATCTCATTATTTAT